ATGGGCTTTGTCTATTCACAAGTAGTGTTGTTGTTAGTTGCGAAGTCGTGTCTGAGTCCGACCCATCGCGACGCTATGGACAACGTTCCTCCAGGCCTTCCTGTCCTCTACCATCCTCTGGAGTCCATTTAAGCTCATGCCTACTGCTGCGGTGACTCCATCCAGCCACCTCATTCTCTGTTGTCCCTTTCTCCTTTTGACCTCAATCTTTTTCAGCATTAGGGTCTTCTCCAATGAGTCCTTTCTTCTCATTGGGTGGCCAAAGTATTTGAGTTTCATTGTCAGGAGTCTTTCTAAAGTGCAATCAGAGTTGATCTCCTCTAGGACTGACCAGTTTGATTGCCTTGCAGTCGAAGGAACTCACAGGAGTCTTTTCCAGCACCATAGTTCAAAGGTCTCAATTCTTTGGTGCTCAGCCATTCTTATGGGCCAAATTTCACAGCCATACATTGCAACTGGAAAACCCATAGCCTTGACTATACACACTTTTGTTGTCTGGGTAATGTCTCTGCTTTTTAGTATGTTGTCTAGGTTTACCATAGCTTTCCTCTCCAGGAGCATCTTTTAATATCTTGGCTGCAGTCCCCATCCATGATCTTAGAGCCCAGGAAAATAAAACTTGTCACTACCTCCATTTCTTCCCCATCTATTTTCCAGGAATTGAGAGGGCCAGATGCCATGATGTGACAAGTCTATCACAAGCGTAGATGTAACTATTAACAAAACACCAATTTTTACCAAAAGACTTTGGATGCTTGTCACAACTCTCTAAATTATTTTACTCAACAAATTAGTTAGATTTTTTTATGTTTACCAGTCCCTACATTTCCAAAGATAACATTTGGTCCATTTTTTATTTTCTAGTAATTTCTGTGGGATCTAAGTGTGGCTTTTGGATTTTCTTTGAGAAACAATGGAAGCTGACACTTTGCTTTGGAACACACCAGCTTTTCATTTCATATTTATTTTAATTTTCTAAAAGGCTATTAAAAAAAGGAGAAGGGTGCAGAGAGGTACCACAATTGTATTTATTTACGTAGTTTTAGTGGGACATGTAAACTCTGCCCTTGTGGTTTGTACATCATGGCTTATGGCTTATAATAAGAAATAGGCAACCTGAGTTGCAACTTCCTATTGTAGGCAATATTTATTTGCTTTGTTTATTCTTCAGGTTAGCTGTAGGATTTAATATAAAGTCTTTTAGATTGTGTCCATAGTTTCAAAGCAATGAGCTGTATAAATTTTTGTGCTAATTCTCTTGCATATTGGAAAAGTATAATGAGCAATTGCCTTATTAAACTAATGAAACCAAACTTAGTTGTAAAAAAGAGTTAATGAGAAATGGAAAATATGAAATTACAAGAGATGTAAACAGTTACATAGAATTCTTATTGCACACAATAAAATCATCCTAGCTAAACTAGGTTTATGGTTACTTGTTTTATTGCTTGGTACATCAGCACTTATTCAGAATTCATTTTAGAAATAATGTAAGATTATTTGGGTTTCCTGTTTGAATGCTGTTAGACAGCTCCTCTTTGCCTCTTCTCTTCTCTTTTTTGCTTTTCCCCTCCTACTTTCATGTTCTTTTTTTGAGTGTTACTCTCAGTTTTAAAGGATACAGCTAAGTCATAGTATCAGCCAGAATCTGAAGAATTTCTTGCTCTCTACCAAGATGAGGTGACTTTGGAATACCAAACTTGCCATCAACCTATTCTGTTTTAAGTAGTAGTCATTTTTATTTTCTCAGGGCTTTGCTACTGTGATTTTTTAAAACTTTACACTGTTTCTCTTTATTGTCTTTTGTTCCTCATTTTTATGCATCTTTTATATAATAGCAATCTATATTCTACCTGATGTAAATTAATGCTTTAATTGTTGATTTTTATTGTAATCCCTTTTGTTTTTAAAAAAATAATAAATGGTTATTCCTTATTTTAATAAAGAAATTAACTGAATTTGGAGAAGCTATTATTTTTCTCCCAAATAAAGCAAAATGTTCCATGTGTAATATGATAGATTACTTAGCAAATCTGAAACTTATATTGGGTGTGGGTGTGTATGTGACAATTTACTAGATATTTTTGATGTCCTTATTATACCATATTAAATTAAAAATTAGAACTTTATCATAACAATTGTATACACACACACACATTAATTATGAGCATTGACTCAATACTGCATGGAATTGCATGGAGTTTTGAGCTAAAAAGGTTGCTCTCCATTATATTAGAAGATGAAAGTGAAATCAAAGTACATTTATCTATGTATTGATGACATTTTAGCCCAAACCTCCACCTCACTTCTTACAATACTGTTATGTGAATCATAAAAACTATGGAAGATGTGACATCAAAGTAATTAATGTCCAAGAGTTCAATTAAGATATCTGAAGCATTTCTAAATGGTTTTGGCAGGAAGCACTGACAGCCAGAGGCTCTGTGTACTGATTGACCATATGAGATCCAGCAAAATCAAGCATATAGAACTCATATATTACTGGTGTAAATCATCTATAGGCGATGAAGACAAAGTGGACTGGATCTTAATTATAATCCAGCAAAACACTGTAAACTATTGGCTTAATTATGAGTTGCTAATTGGAGTTCACACTTTAACAAACCATTATTTAGAAACCAAAATAGAGAGATTCACACATAATACACAAAATGACAGTGTAGTTTGTTTGTGGCTAGGTATGTGATGTGAACCTGGCAATTCCGATACAGTTCTAAGTTTTTGTTAAGAAATGGTTATCTCATAGCTCCTCTTGTATTTTGTTTTCTTTACCCTCTCAGGCTTCTGTCTGCCCTGAAGGAAATTAAGATTTTTGCCTAACTCATCCGTCAGATTCTCCCCTCCCTCCCATCTCCGCCCACCTCCACCGGTACCCGCTGGTGGACTGACGTATTACAGTGCAATAAGCTTTGTCAACAGGTGACTCCAACAATCCGTATAAAGACTGCTCCGCGAAGCTGAGCTACATTTCAGAACCATGGAGAGCTCTCGCTTCTTCGCCCTGCTGGGAGCTGCTTTATTGTTGCTTGCGGGAATCCGCGGTCAGGAAGAAGGCGAACTTCAATCCCGAGGTTTGGATCTCTATTCCACCATGGAAGATACGTCCCACGAAAAGGAGCTGGTATGTTTTCCAGCGAGAAAGCGTCTGAATGGGCGGGTGGGGCTAGAACTGACCTCAGAAGCTTCTTTTACTATTTTCCGATGTTAGTCTTAAACTGCCTAGCTGCTCAGTCCTCACGTTTTGCTTCAAGTCTCATGAGATGCAACCTTTGGAAAACTTAAAGCCATTCTTAGCAGGGTGATAGGCTGAATAGGAAGGGAAAGTTGGAGTCCAACAGAAGCTTGAAAAGTAGAAAACTCCTAAATGAGGGCATCATGTCTACAACCTCTTAACCCCCCCCCCCCCACCAAATCCCAATTGCCTGTGAGAGGCTGGTCCATCTTTCTTTTAGGTTGTCAAATGCTTTGTCTCCTACTCTGTATTCAGCCTCCTCAGGCTGCTTGGTCTATTACTAATAGGCTAGTTTGTGTGTCTGCAGATTGAAGCACTGCAGGAAGTCCTGGAGAAGCTGAAAAGCAAACGGCTCCCACATTATGAGAAGAAGTATGGTCAAGTTCCCATGGTGAGTGTGTTCTGATTCTGTCGGAAAAGTTATTTTTAAAACAGCACAATCCTTGCAGCAGAAGTAGGTTGGTAGGGAGTTGACATAGAGCTCTGATGGAGAAAACAACTTTTTCCTAGAAAACCGCCAATAAAAGTGAAACTTTTCCACCCTATTGTCTTTATTAATTCCCAAATTATCAACATAAGGCTGAATGTTAGCCTTATAATATGAATAATGTCCTACCTTTCCTCATGTCAAACCTTTGATGTCCTGTTTGGAAATACTGAAATAATACTTTACAAATGTTCTGTTCCATTCTTACCTTTTCTGCCTAACATCCTAAGGCTGCAAATATATATATTCTGCTTTTGGGGATTAAATCCCATGCACTGGATTATATTGTAAATATATCTACTTGAGAGGGAACTTCAGTGAAGCTTAATCAGTCCTAAGCACGCTAATGTATATATCTGCTGTAAATTTATTGGAGAGGAAGTTTGTTTAAATGAAATAAAACCTAGTAGTCACATCTAGATTTCTGCACTTGGATTATTAGTATTCTTTGCATATATTTTAGGGTATTACTTAAATTGAAATGCTTCTGAGACTAAAGTTAAAAAGAAACTGAATGAAACATTGGTCATTCATTTACAGGAGGAATTAGACTCCTTTTCACCAGCTATGTTTTTTTTCTGAATTAAATATTAGAACAAGGCTGAAAAGGAAAAAGAACCTAATTATCAGTGTAGGTTCATATTAGTGGAGTTGTGGGTTTTGGTGTCTCCTGTTCTGAATTTTTGACAAAAAAATTACATCTTGGTTAAAAAGATAATTGATGACATCCAACCATGGTTATGACATTTTAAAAAATAAATTAACATTGCTAGACATATTGCTTCTGAACTTTTTTTATGAAGTCTACAGAACAGATGTTTTAAGTGATTTTTTATAAAAATTTCAATGCTGATACAGAAAGTCAAATGAACTATTTTCTCTAATTCATTAGTCCTATCTGTTACAATACAGAAATAATTGAATGTTCTTTAAATCAGGCAGAAATGCAAACCTCACATTTTTGCAGAAAAATTTCCTTTACAATATTTTTTTCACTCTTGATCTAATTGTTAATAACAGTGTGATGCAGGAGAGCAGTGTGCTGTGAGAAAAGGTTCCAGGATTGGAAAACTCTGTGACTGTCCCAGAGGAACATCTTGCAATACTTTTCTTTTGAAGTGCTTGTAAAGTAAAGTCCTTCCCTCAACCTCTGGAGAGAACAGAAAAGAATCAGTTGCCTTGTCTGAAGAATTAATCCTGAGTTATGGATGCAGGTGGGTGGGGTGGAGAATGGTCTGTATTCATCACATACAAAGTAATGGGTGGTGGGAGGGACATGGGTGTAAAGGTTGTACTATTGCTTTTAGGATTTCTTCTTGCCATTTCTTCTTACTGTTATTTTCCTTCTTTGTTCCTGTCCTATTTTTCCCCTATATTTGTACATCAGTGTTCAGAGAATGAATTGATATTTCCAAAACTTTATTTTTGAATGTAGATGGTCCCCATGAAAATTGGCTCTACAAAATGTATTTATTTATTTTCTTTCAAATGCAAACACAAGAACAAATTAGAGGACAAATACTGGAGTTAATCAAATTAACAATACATAGGAATGATTCCAAGATTCAAACATTTTAAAAATAAAACACAAATATCCATTTCCCAAACAAAATACACATGTATGCCAATTGTAAGAAAACAGTGGCACTATTTCAAAAATAATCTACTAAGCCATTATTTCATCTCAATTTGGTAGTACCTTCACCCAGTACCTCCAGCTTTCTCAGGCAATCATATTTTTGAAATAAATAGCAGAGGAAGTGACAGATTTTGTCTCCTGGGGTCTTTTGAGAATAAGATGGAAAGAAAAGCTAGGAATATTTTTCCTTGACAAAATCTGTAATGGAATTCCTGATGTTTCTTTCAGAAAGAGCAGCATAATATGCAATTAATAATAGTAATTCAAATATGTGTCAAATAGTGACACCCTGACCAAGTCATCAGCACATGTCTATTTCCTGATGACTAAGTAGAAAGATATGAGACAAGTTGTTGTTAACATTATACTTGGTTGATTAGTATATGTATTGAAGGATATTGCAAAGACCTACTTCAAATTAAAATTTCTGAATATTTATCATCAGTTTTGTCTATTAATAGACTTTGATTATTGCCATATAGTATTGTTTTGAGGACCAGTGCACATATCAGTGCTTCCAAGCAGCATTGTTGTTATATTAATTTCTAGGTTAAGACTTTGTCAGGATTGAGGAGAATTTGGCTGAGCATAAGAAATGAAAGCGTTATGAAATATATGAGGACGACAAGAACTCCCATCTTTCAAAATTGCATATATATATGTATGTATGTATGTATGTATGTATGTATGCATGCATGCATGCATGCATACATATACATATACATATACATATACATATACATATACATATACATATACATATACATATACATATACATATACATATACATATACATATACATATANTGTGTGTGTGTGTGTGTGTGTTCCAGCATAACTCTGGGACGCCTCGAGCAATTTGGTACACAGATTACTTACCCTCTGGAAACAAATACTGTGGGGCTAAGACACCCCTTAACACCCCTTGGGGTGTGTGTTCTGTTAAGAACCTGTTGTGCCTTAAAATGGCTTCTACCGTACTTCCTTAAAATGGCTTCTACTGTACAGTGCTGTGGAGTTGCCATGGTAATGGTTTCACAGTACCCCATAAGGCGACTTCCTCTGGTAAGGGAGAAAATCCAACATTAGAAATTGTAGTGACATTCATGGAAGGAGGGTTGGGATAAATAAATACCCAGGCAGTGCCGGGTTATCAGCTAGTTTGCTATAAAATCAGAATGTGGTTATGGTATTATTCCTCTAACTATTTGGTTTTGTGATTTATGTTTCAGATTGTGGGATGATGGAATCATTGATCCAGCTGATACAAGACTTGTTTTGGGCCTTGGCCTCAGTGCTGCATTTAATGCACCCAGCAAGAAGACAGATTATGGCATATTCAGAATGTGATATGAAAGGTTTACCAGTTGTACTTTAAATAAAAGCAAATGGCCTAACTCAATAAATAATCAAGTAACAAAATAAAGATTTGTACAGTAATGCAGTTGGGTTTAATTTTCATGGATCTTAAAAATAATTATTTTATTAAATCAAGCTCTAATCCAGTTAAATAGATACAGCTCGTATTTTTGATCCATTCAATCTAGAAAATCAGATCCATCAATTCATATTAAATGTATTATATCAATAGAACAAAAAACAAAAACATGTCTTTTGAAGGAGGGAAGGAAGTTTTTGTTTTTGGTCCAAGTAGAGAAAGGAAGAAAATAAAATACAACAAACAATAGTAAATATTCTTTAAACAGTTTTAGTTTCTTTCTACATAAATCATATTGTAGAGCATTTTTCAACAGTTCAAAGGCTAAGAGTTCATATGTTTCAACAAGGCAGCTTTCAGTGTCTAGTTTAGAAACATCTTTTCAAGAAGACATAATAATGTGAAGGGATAGGAATTGGCTACATTCCAGGCAAGACGGATCCAAATAGATAAATTCACAATTTTAGGAACATAATTTAAAAACACATCATTGAATCCAACTTGCTAATCAAAGCCTTATTAACAATATCTAGAAACTCATTCAATATTGTATTTATTTTTGTTAAATTTGTTAATAAATAGTTAATAATCTGTTTAGCATCTAAATATACCTTTACCTAATAGACTTAAAATTATGAGTTTTCAGTATCATAAATTTAGTGGGTATAACCAGAGAACATAACATATGTTTTTATATAGTGCTATTTGGAGGGTTATATTCTTTCTGCAACCTATCAAAAATAGCAATAAATAAGGTTATTATCTCTTCATCCCTTTTTAAATAAGGGTTGAACATGGGTCCAACACAATTTATTCTAATTTTACAAGATTTCTGAAAAATTAATCCAGAGAGTCAATTTTTCTTGAGAACAAAATTAAGACTTTAATTTCTTTCCTAATGACATCAGAGGTTTACTAGGTTTGTTCTATTAATTGCAAGTATAATTTAAATTATAGAAATTGTTTAGGATTCAGTAATTCATATATCATTAATATAGGTAGCCTACGGTTAAGTATTTTCATACATTTCTTTTAATTAAGATTGGTTGTATTGGCAGCTGATATTGTACTTGATACTATAATGCCACTCTTTTGTGTTGCTCTTCAGTCATTCTGTCTCAAGAATTTTGATTCTTCCTTCATTTTCTTACCATTGACTTGCAAATACGTATCAATTAATAAAGAGCAAACGGATTCCAGCAAAGATTGCATTTCATTCTGGACTAATCTTCCTGCAGTGGGAGGTGCTTGATATTTGCTTTTCTGAATATCACAGCATTTTTCAGGTCACTGCATAGTCAAGCTTTGTTCCAGGATTGTAAAATTCAAGTGTAATAATAGGGAGAAATTTTTCCATCTAGTTGTTGAGTATTGCGAGTGGAGAACTATATCATTCTTAAGCCTACAATATTTGCTATCATTATGTTATCTTTGAAAGTCTGAGAGATAAGTCATTTTCATTTTGGAGACGAGATTCAAAAACAGAAATAATCCTTGTGGATTATGCATCCAATAACATGTCATTAATAAACTGAATATTGACATGTCAATGATACATCAATCAGTGGAGAAAGTGTTTCTATTTCATCATCTGCAAGGCAAGTAAACTTGGAAGTCAATTTTACATGAATTGAACACATTCGCATTATATTACGCTTTAAAATTCTAAAATGTGATGCATTTTCTTGCTCCGAATAGGAGATACTTTCAACTTTTATTAATACTCCCTTTATAGGCTTGCGTTTATTGATTCTTAACATGCCTTGTCTGCATGTTTTTTGAAACTTGAAAAAGGCACATCTAAAGCTATAAATACTCTACTAATACAAGTTTGGGCAAATGTGAGCAGGGGGGTTGGAAACATTGCATTGACCTCTGTTATACCTTTGGGAATTTGGGCATGCAGGTGCTTTGGAAGATGGAACAATTAAATGGTCCATCTGTGCTGTCATTCAATCTTTGGGCAAGAAGATAACAGTCAAAATATAGACTCCCGGCCCAATGATCTTCAGTAAGAAGGATCCTTTTTTTTCTACTAACAGGGTAATGACCCATTCTCCACTGCCTACTGATCTCTGTCAGCTGCTTTGCAGAGGCTAACAGAGAATTGCAAGTTGCCTACTGTGATATAAAGGCACTTGGGGTTACCAAACATTAAACTAAAGTACTTCAGCAAGTGTTTTGTTATAAACATTTCCTTTGTCTAAATATATTGCTTTAGGTTGGCATATAATCTACCATGTGAATGTTAGATTGTTCTGGGGAAAATAGAAAGGAGTGTAGGTATGTTTGCTGCCTTGAGTTACTTATAAAGTAATAAAGGCAGAATAAAAATCTAATAAATATAGAACGTAGACAAACTAATATAAAACAAAAATTAGACTTTTGTTGAAAATTAGGCTGCAAATTTTCCTGCAGAGTGGTAATTAAAACCTTTCTGAGCAAGGCATGATTCATCAACAATCTTGAGACACAGATAATAAAGAGGACACATTTCTATAAATGTCATACCTTTGAAAATAATTGATATATTAACCATGTGAAAGATACCATCTTTCCATTAGGAGACATTCATTGTATATATGGCCTAGGGTCAAAATGCATTCTTGAATGAATGCAAACAGTATTGTTCCATAGTCACTATTTTTAAACAACAGGTAGCTTGTGAAACATAGTAGCCTGGTCATTGGCATGACCACAGAGAGGAGGGGGTTAAACTATTTTCNTATTGACTATATATAAAGTGTTTTTCCCACGGCACACCTTACACTATGTCACGGCACACTAGTGTGCCACAGCACAGTGGTTGAAAAACACTGGTTTAAAATATCACTGTATTTTCAAAAATATCCATGAACATACAATTCTGAAGACTTAAGCCAACAATAAAGAACTGTGGCTTGGAATAGGACAATTTGCCATGGCCAATTTGCCGTGGCCAACTTACCGCTTCCAACTCGCCATGGTCAACTCAGAACGAAACAACTTGCTGCACGCCAACAATTTTATTTAATTATTTAAAACAATTAAAATTTATTTTAATGTTTGTCATTTACTTTTCATTTTACTTTTCATCCTCCTTTTGCATCCTTTCTTAATGATGCTATTCCACCATTTCTTTGATATTATGTAACTTTTGTCCCAAGGCAACTTGTCCCACAAGTTCACCATGGTGAATTGTCCTAAAGCGAATTATCTCATGGTGATGAGTTGGGCCAGCAGTTGCAAGATTAGGAAAAGTTTTTTTTTCCTCCAAGAAATATTTTGCATTTTACATAGATTGGTCTGCTTTCCTGCTGCTACCATCTATCTTGGAAGAAGGGAAATAGTTTTGTTTGACTTCTTCCTATTTAACACTGGCTTGCGAGACTGATGGGCACCTCACAGCTTGAGTACTTACTTTCCTGTAAACTTAACATAATAGTAGTGGTGATAATTATGGTGGTGATAATTATGAAAAAAAGGAGGAACTCTGTAGCATCATATCCTGGCCCTGACAATTTTGGTGATGCATGATTATTAAAAACCTCCCATTGTTCAAAAATAAAATTGAAAACCCCAAACTATATTTCTAAAATTAAATGTATAAAAAAATGAGAAAAGGTTAAAAATAAAACTTTCTCTTAGCCTCAGATAATCATGTGCCAAGACATTTAGTGCTGATAAAAACACAGACTGCATAGAAAACATAAAAATTCGATAGAATTGTAGAAGGGAGATTATTAAAGCAGACCATGCTTTAACTTGGCTTCCTCTTCTTTGGAAGCACTCTAGTATAATGAGGTTCCATGTTATTGTATTTTTATTTATTTTATTTAGTTTGTCAAACCTGTACATGATAATAGGTAGAAGTATGAACATGGACATGAACAAAGGAAATGAATACAAACAAATGGGGACAGTAGGACAGGGGCAGTAGGTACGCTGGTGCGCTTATGCACGCCCCCTTTACGGACCTCTTAGGAATGGGATGAGGACTACGTTACAAAGAGTCGAGGTGGGGCAGTGGTTAGGGTGCAGTACTGCAGGCCACTTCAGCTGACTGTTATCTGCAGTTCAGCGGTTCGGATCCCTAGTACCGCATAATGGAGTGAGCTCTCGTTACTTGTCCCAGCTTCTGCCAACCTAGCAGTTCAAAAGCACATAAAAATGCAAATAGAAAAATAAGGACCACCTTTGATGGGAAGGTAACAGTGTTCCATGTGCCTTCAGCATTTAGTCATGCTGGCCACGTGACCACGGAGATGTCTTCAAACAGCGCTGACTCTTCGGCTTTGATCAGCCCTGCCCCCTAGAGTCGGAAATGACTAGCACATAGTGCGAGGGGAACATTTACCTTTATAAACATAAATGTAAAGGGTGACAGATGGGTAATCTTAACACAATCCATTTACAAGGAAAAGGAGTCAATCAGTTTTAACTGATATTGGACACACTATGCCTACTGTATATAGAAGCAATCACTAAATGCATAGTATTCATTTTTTTAAAAAAACATTAAAATGATACTTTTCTTATGAACTCATCTATTAATTGGGATTAGAATGGTGTCTCCTTTGCTGGGATTCTTGTAATAAGGAAGATTCAGTTACCTGTTAAGTGAATGAGCGCAGAGATGGGTCTCATTATCTGTACAAGCACAGGACAAATCATAGAAATATAATCCCAATGCTCATGAATCATAAAGATTAAGCAGCTTTTGAACTAATTCTAATATTTCAAAATTCTTATCCTTATAAAGGGAAGCTTATGGATTATCTCTAATGTTAAATGAATATTTTTATGCAATAAAATTTTATTTTACTCTCTTTCTCTCATACCCTGTTCTCCATGAGAGAAATCTGCCCCTGAGAATCCCATAACTTTCCAGAACAGATGTCATACGGTAACAAATCTTTTTGGCTGCTAGAATACCATTGATTCCCAGGCATTATTAGAACTAATTTACTCTTCAGAGAAAATTAACTGGTCGACCTGAGGTCACCTCTTGCAAGAAGTCACA